TCAGCCCAAGAAAGTTTTTGCTTTGTTTTGGTTTTGGGTTTTTTGGGGTTTTGGTTTTTTTTGCTGTTGTTTCAGTGACTGTATTTGTAAACAGTGTGAGTGAGGGTCTTTCTCTAATAGTTTGTTTGCTATGCTGGGATTATTGGACAAAATTTTTAGTTTTATAGACTCCAACCTCCATCTTCTGGCCAGACTGCTGCACTGCACCACTTGCTTCTGTTCAAGTTCAGTGCCTTGGCTGGTGAGTTCAGGTGCTTTTCCTCTGATAAGAGACTTTCCTCAAAATTCCTAAACCTTCCATATCTGGAACAAGCCTAATTCTTCCTAATTTCAGTAAAAATTTGTTGGATTTTTAATAGCTCCTCTCGAAGCACAAATGTTTTATTAATATTTCCTCAGACTCTACCAATCACAGTGGGACAAATTAAAGAAATCTTTTTTCAGTCTCCAAGATTCCTCATTTCTTCTTAGTCTCCTCATTTCTAGCATTTAGGACTGAAATGTTTTCCACAAAGATCCTGATGTTGGTGGATACCAAATGGAGCACCCAGTTATTTGAAAGAAAATACACATTTCTCTAAAATGGCCTTCATATCTATTGTCAGTTGTCTCCTGCCCTCTATGGTTGCCAAAGCTTGTATGGCTTATTGTTGGGATAGAGCGTCCAGCAAGAGTTAAAAACAACTTAGATCCAGCAAGTTGACTCTGGTTTACACTTACGGGAAATAATGCTGCCTGCTTCTTATTTACAATGTCACCTGAAAGTGAGAACAGATGTTCATATGGCAATGTTGTAGCTGGCGTTGCAAGGTATTTACCTGCCAGATATGCTAAACATTTGTATGCCCCTTTATGCTTCGACTTGTAGACTCTAAAGTAGTAATAATTCTACATTTGAAAGTGGCACTTTCATGATAGAGAGATTGTACTAGAGTACTTGTATGAGATGTATTGTACTGTTTTCTTTTATACAGTACAAATATTTGTAATACAAATAGTATAAAGTGAGCACTGTACACTTTGTATTCTGTGGTGTAATTGAAATCAATATATTTAAAAATGTAGAAAAATGTCCAAAAATATTTATAATAAATTTACATTGGCATTCTATTATTGTTTAATAGTGCAATTAAAACTGTGATTAATTGCGACTGTTTTTTAAAATCTAGTTAATTTGTTTTGTGTTAAACGCTTACATTAACTGCAGTTAATTGACAGCCCTAAAAATAAGTAAATAACTGGAATTCTTAGTCGGATACAGTGGTATAAAATATAAATTCCTTTCATTGTACTCCCTTTGTTTGTAAAATCAAAGTCACGCGATTAGGACATCTATTTTACAGGATATATATCCCCTGTCATAAAATTTCCCATAATGAAATGAGGTATATTTAACAAGAAACACGACTGCTTTGGGCAGTAAAGAATAGGACCACATGAAGAAATTTGTGTGGCAGTCACTTAGTTATCTATTCCCTCTTTTACCAAACACTACAAAATTAACATTGTTGTCAGCTGATACATTGTCCTTCAAGCTGCTCTGGACCAGTTAAAAAAATGAAAATAGATCAATTTAATGTGCTTAGCTTGGACTCTTAGGCTTGTTGCCTACTCTGTTTTTATTCTTTGGTTGTTTCCCGTTCTGACTTTGTGCTTCCCAACTGTCATTTGCATACCAACAAATTGGTCATATGAAATCGAAAATTTGATTTTCTTATTTGTAATTTTAATTTCTCTTAGTGGTACCAATCCCTGCTATGCATGTCCTGCTCCATTAATCTCTTAGGATGATAAAATTTTGTTGTTTATTGACAAATATAATTGCAATGAAACCACTTGATTGTCATTTATCTTGGAATTTATACATATTTTCCAACATTCAATTTTGGAAATATCTCCTGGGGTTGCAGTTAACTATGTGGCCAGCAGGTAGAGACTGGAGTCTGCAAAGCAGGATTTAAAAAAAAAAAAAAAAAAAAAATTTTACCGGAGAGCTGCCTCGAAGCTAAAGGAAAGGCAGGATTACCTAACAACATAGTACGGTGTGGTACCACTATGCAGAATGGGTATTGTCCCCTTCCTGTGCCATCATTCCCCTCTTTCCTTCATCAGAGGAAGAAGTGGTTATATAATTGGAGCAAAATTCAAATCTTTCATATTCTTCTGAGGGGATCTTGTTGTACCATTGGAATGTCCTGATTAAGAATATAGCTAAGCATTTTAAAATGCAGCCTATGGAGAAAAAAGGTGGAAGGTTCTTACCTTTTTTTCCCCTTCACAATCTTCCATCCCATTTTTCAGACGGCAGAGAGGAAAATATTGCCTCTTTAAAAAGTTAATACAGGTCAGATTAGAACAATGGGGATGTGAATAGCAGCACGCACCAAAGTGCTGCGCTGTAACTCCCCTGTGTGGATACTGCGGGCACAAGTGAAAAGGTTTCTAGTTTCCCATTATTGTGGTCCTATTTGAAGAGGACTATGTTAATGCAAACTAGGAACCTTTTGGCTTGTGCCTGGAGCATCCACATAGGGAAGTTGCAGTGCAACCCTTTGGTGCATGCTGCTATTCACACCCCTATAGTCTGAACTGTGGGACAGTGTAGACAAGCTCTGAGTGATGCTGCACAGGTGTAATTGAAAGCATGATTTGGAGATAAAGAAGTTAGGGTTATCTCTGAGAAGCTGAGAAGGGCGCAAGTTGGCCTGAAGAATCTTAATTATTGTTTGTGGTTCATGAGAAGAAAAGAAAACCAGCTTGATTTTCTCAAGGTGACTTTTCAGGGCTTTGCTAGAAAGTAAAGTGAACAAATTTGAGCTAGAAATTAGAGATGATCAACATGGAACCTCTGCAATGCTATTCTACAGAGGAAAATATGCATGGGTCCTACACATGCCTATCACAACACGGGGTGTATCTCATCCAGTGCACTAAATTCCCCAATAACGATGTGGGTGAAACCAGACAGTCACTATGCTCTTGAATGAACTCTCACTGGAAGATAAGACAGAAACACTATATCGCTTATGGGTGAACACTTTTCGCAAAGCGATCATGCTGTATCTGACCTATCAGTCCTTTTTCTCAAGGGAAACCTGCACAACACTTTCAAAAGACAAGCCAGAGTGCTTAAATCCATAAATTGCTAGATACTAAAAATCATGGACTGAATGAGACACTGGATTTATGGTTTATTACAACAATTTATAACCCATTAGCCCCACCCCCACCTCCTGCAACCTCTCTCCCCCATTCCTTTCCTCCCCATGACTGGAATGGTGTTAACGAGGGCCACTTCACCTTGAATGGTTCCTTGAAATGTGTAGCTACTTATTCTAAAAAACCTGTTTCACCTTTTATTTATCTGTGACAGTGCATATATGTTTTCTAGACCTGAAGAAGAGCTCTGTGTAAGAGAGACAAGCTTTCAATCACTAACAGAAGTTGGTTCAATAAAAGATATTACCTCACCCATCTTGTCTGTCTTATATGCTAGGGCCAACAGGGCTATAACACTGCATTCTACAGAATAGGCATGCTGCTTACTACTTCCACAGTTGGGAGAACAACTCCACAAAGTCTAGTCTGTGGCAGCAAAGAGACTGGTCATTACACCTGCCTTGAACAAAGTGTAGCCTTTACGTTTTCACTTGTGACATGAGTGGAGTGACTAATGGATAGTGATAGAGCCTCCAGTCACACTACCAAATTCCTGCTCTTGCCTCAAATGCTTATAAGGACATTACCAACTGAAAAATCATATTTACGTATGTAAACTTGGTACCATCTAGGTTTATAAGTAAACCCTACAATTATTAGAACTGAAGCAGATTAGAGGGAGAAATAATTCCCTTTATATTTCAATTTATTTTCTTCATTTTACAGCACTTTATTTTACAGCATTTTATAGTCAGTTTTGCTGTCTTGTCAATGGTGTACACTGTTCTTCTGGGCTCTGCAAAAAGGTGTTTATCAGTTATAGTGAAACTGATGAGGCTGTAGGCTAGATTGTACACACAGTGAAGAGAAAAGTGTTGCTGAGCACGTTTGGTGAAGTTGCGTGGGCACTAGAGCAACATAACTCTCTAATTGTGAACAGGAATTAGAAAAGAATAGTCTTTTACTTGCTGTTTAAAGGTTGTTCTATCAGAAAACTGAATGTTTTAAAGCTAGTTAGTTTTGGAAAATACAATTTTTGTTCCTTTTAAGTATTTTAAAAAAATATACTTTCAGTTTGTCCCTAACAGATCCATTTACGTCTAGATCTCTCACATCGTATAGACTGATAGATTCCAAAGCCAGAAGGGACCATTGTGAACATCTAGTCTGGCCTCCTGTATAAAACAGGCTATAGAACTTCCCCAAAATAATTTCTAGAGCATATCTTTAGAAAAAATATTCAATCGTGATTTAAAAATTGTGAGTAATGGAGAATCCATCACAACCCTTGGTAAATTGTTCCAGTGGTTAATTCCTCTCACCGTTAAAGATTTATACCTTATTTCCAGTCTGAATTTGTCTAGCTTCAGTTGTATACCAGCTTTTCTAAGCCCCCTATAATATCACTGAATATAATGAAGCATTTTTGAAATGTACTGACTCTGCTGTTCCATAACAGCATTTGTGGCATTTTACTATTTAAACAGTTGATATACCTGTATTCATTATGGTTTTATGTTTGTTTTTTAAATGCAAGTATGTTCAAAATACAAATATTTTGCATGTGCTTGATAAGTCAGGGGACCAGAGAGGGAGCTGGGGGAGGGAGGGAAATAAGGGGATATATTGTCAACTAGCTCAAAAAACAATGGGAATATTAAACCTGTTAGTAGTAGTAATTTTTTATTTAAACACAGCTTTGTAAATATTAGAAATTCATCAGTTAGAGTGGATAGGATTAGATTTAGGCAGTTTACTCTTCTGAAGAGTAGTAATTATTTAGTTAAAGTGCTAGTTTTTTCTGTCTGTTTAAAGTGATGCCTGATATTGTCATGTTACAGAGGCGGATGCCCCAAACTTTCCGTGATCCAGCTACTGCTCCCCTGAGGAAACTCTCCGTTGATCTGATCAAAACATACAAACATATTAATGAGGTAAAGACCACATAGTTCACCGTTATATTTTTATTTAATGTGGGATAACTTGTTAATAATTACAATATGTAGTGTTATCAAAAATATTGATTAAAGTGTTCCAAGTAGATTTTTCTATAAGATGCAGTGAATTTAGACACATTTTTTACTGGCACATTATACAGGCATTCTTTCTTAATTTATGAATTAACTTGATGAATTCTAAATTAAACAAGTCCATGTACTTTTATTGTGAATAAAAATAACATGCGAAGTACAAAAGGGTTTGTGCCCTTTTTTTATTCTTTATTATGTTTTTAAAATCTTGATTCATTTTTTCCCCCCGCCCCTGTAGAAATATCAGTAATGCCTTGTCTTCTCTTCTTTGGTGGGAAGTCTCCTTGAAGGACCTGAAGTGGAAACTTTCTCTGCTTTTAATTTAAAGGGGCTTGGTGGGTGTTGAATATTTAGGCCTAAATTTTCAAAAGTGACTATTTTGGGCTCCTCAGTTTTCGGGTGCCCAACTTCAGACAACTTTAATGAGCCTGGTTTTTCAGAACTGTTGAGCACCTGCCTTCAGAAAACGAGGTCCCTTTCAGTTGTCTCAGGTTGAGCACCCAAATCACGGCTCTCAAAATCAACAGTCACTTTTGAAAGTGTAGGTCTTTATAGTTTTTTCTTCCAACGGTTTGTAGAGCATTTACTTTCCATTGGTTTTACCAACAACACACGCGTTCTAAACACTGAATAAAAATCAGATTCCCTCCCAATTGCTCGTGTTTCACTACTGGATACCTGTGAGGTCATAATCTTACTGGGCCTCCAGTCCATAATCTTCTGGAAAAGAAGGCCTAGACAGCAGTTGAATTGCTATTGTAAATATAAATAAACTTGAAGGTCTTTTATATGTATCATCAGGAAAACATAAGCCATCTTTGCCTTTCATGTTATCTTTTGATTGCTTTATCTTTTAGAAAATTTGAGTTTCTACAGAGCCTCCTTAATTGGTCTATCTTAATTATTCAAAATCCAAAAGAAGGCAAAGTTATAAAGCAAGGAAGTGGTAATGTCCTCCTGGATGCCTGTGGTGATTGTAGAATAAAAGAAATGGCACTGCAGCCATCCATGATTTCACTTTGTTTTTTCTTTTAGTCTTGAGTACTTATGGACTGTAGTCTGGCAAAATTACTATTTCTAATCAAGGCCCCAGCAGTTTAAAAGCAGCTGCTGTTATCTAGTGGCCTGTGCTTGAGCCTGGGAGTCCAGAACTGCTATGTCACTGAGTTTAATGATGCTATGTCACTGATGTTTAATTCCTTTTGCCTCACTTTTTCTACCCTATTGTTTTGTACGGCACTTGAAAAATATAAAATGTTAAGTGCCAAGTATTTCCATATTTAATTATCATTATTATTATATTGTGTATATACTGTAATGCTAGGCAACAATTGAATCTTTTGTTACTCAGCTTCTCCCAATGCTTACATATTTAATTTTACTTTCTGTTGGTTACGCTTTAGTCTTTGTCTTGCCTTTTTAAACATAAATAAAGATGTTAGGTTAATTTTCGTGTGTGTGTAAAGTACAATCATAGGACTGTAAGGGACCTGAAGAGGTTGTCTAGTCCAATTCCCTGCATTCAAGGCAGGACTAAGTATTACCTTTTGTGTGTGTGAGAGACAGAGTAAGTGACTTAACCATGGTGTGTTTTCTCTTTTGTACCCTTTGTTTTTTTAATAGGCTCAAAGGCTACATTTTATGAATATGTTGCTGTGGTGTGCTTACAGATGTTTCTCGAATATTCATAAATATTGGGATATTTGCTTTTGGTATAAATGACTGAATTTCAGATCCTGTGATTTAATTAAAACATTGTGTGCACTTCTGAAGGGACACACTAATTCAAAAATTGCTCTTTTCCCTGAAACTTTATCTACTTTATTTATAAATGTCACTTAGGATTATTATGTCTAAAATTATAATTTTTAGATACATTTTCTGTTTTACTTTGTGAATTTGATAGCTCTGTGTTAAGAGATTCACTATTTTCTCAGTATAGTCAGTTAGTTTTCCTGGTTTTTATGGGTGTCTTTCACACAGCAACAGGGGAGGGGAAAATAACTTTTTAAAAAAGGAAAATGGGTTTGTAAAGCCAGAAAATTAGCTGGTTGCGGGAAGAGATGGGAGACTAGAGTAGTCCCTGAAGATACTCTTTACTGATTAAAGTGACACCATCTGTTGAAATTTAAACCAGTATGTTCCTCATCTTCAGGTTTACTATGCAAAAAAGAAGAGGCGGCACCAACAGGGCCAAGGAGATGATTCCAGTCATAAAAAGGAACGGAAAGTTTACAACGATGGCTATGATGATGACAACTATGACTATATTGTAAAAAATGGGGAGAAGTGGATGGATCGTTATGAAATTGACTCTTTAATTGGCAAAGGATCCTTTGGGCAGGTAATGGATGTCAGCTGAAAAATCATTAATTCATTTTAGTTATAATAGCCATCTAAATGAGTCAATATCCAAGCTACATCCCGGTCTCATGTAAAGATTGTTTCCTTATTCATAAGCTCTTGGAATAAGATGTCTACTCAAAATGTCTGCAGTTATGATTTTTCTTGTTTATAAAACATGAAATTTGAATTTTCTTGAGCATGCGCATCCAGTAACTGCTTTTGCAAGAGAATCAAACCCGTTAATTTGGAAAAGAGACAGCTAAGGGGAGATATGATTGAGGTCTATAAAATGATGACTGGTGTAGAGAAAGTAGATAAGGAAGTGTTGTTTACTACTTCTCATAACACAAGAACTAGGGGTCACCAAATGAAATTAATAGGCAGCAGGTTAAGACAATAAAAGGAAATATTTCTTCACACAATGCACAGTCAATCTGTGGAATTCCTTGTCAGAGAATGTTGCGAAGGCCAAGACCATAACAGGGTTAAAAAAAGAACTGGATAAATTCATAGAGGATACGTCCATCAATGGCTATTAGCCAGGATGGGCAGGAATGGTGGCCCTAGCCTCTGTTTGTCATAAGCTGGGAATGAGTGACAGGGGATGGATCACTTGGTGATTACCTGTTCTGTTCATTCCCTCTGGGGCACCTGGCACTGGCCACTGTCGGAAGACAGGATACTGGGCTAGATGGACCTTTGGTCTGACCCAGTAGGGCCATTCTGATGTTCTTATGTTATGTTCTTAATTTAACACTTAACTTGCATTTGCTGTCATTCAGAATTCCATGGTGTTATGGAAACCCAAATTTAATTTTCTGTGCTTCGGGAGATAACACAAACAGATAGCATAGAGTATGTAATAAATACACATCATACCCAAGTTAACTCTTGAAAAAGGCATTTTGAGAATTAAGCATTTCTAAATAGTGAATATTTAATAGAAAGTGATTTTACTCTTATTTTCTGTATTCATTTTTTTTATACTTGTACTTGAATTAGATGTTATTTCCTCAGTCCACCTTCTCAATGAAGTCTGAATCCTGTTTTTGTGATTTTTGTTATGAAAATTAATATCATATCACAATATCACCTATGGCTTCACAGTAGAAAGAAGAAAAGAAAATGGTCTAGAAAGGATGAAAATTCTTATTTTCAAGACAAATATTTTCAATAAGAATTAAACGTACTTAGTGAAATTTTGAAATATAAACTGGATTACTAAGTATGTTTTAAATATGATTAATTTCAAACCTTTCTTGGTTTTGAAAGTCTCTGTTTAATAAATAAATTTAATGAAATGTGCAGTTACTTGAACATTGTATTTAGCATGTCTTTTTTTCTCTTTCAGGTTGTAAAGGCTTATGATCGTGTGGAACAGGAGTGGGTTGCTATTAAAATTATAAAGAACAAGAAGGCTTTCCTAAATCAAGCCCAGATTGAAGTGCGGCTTTTGGAGCTTATGAACAAACATGACACTGAAATGAAATACTATATAGGTATTAAGATAATTCTTATTTTTATTCACTTGCAAATATTTGAGAATTGGCTGGAGAACCTAAGACCATGCTACTAATTTTACAGTGCTCATAATGTTGAGGAGTTATACATTTGTTTGTTTTTACATCAATAGTTTTTACAGCAGACTGTCTTACTTAAAGAAGACAGTTGACCTGTGCATGTAGAACTTGATCCAGGAGAAGTTATGTGAGACCATATGACATTATTAACTGCCTTGTGTTTTTAACCATGAGTTCTACTGCTGTATATGGCAATCAGATTGGACAGAGTCTGTTTTGCTCTTGAGAAGGGGGCAGTCTTCAGTCCCTACTGCCTCTTCTTAATATGGAAAAGTTGCTGGTAAAGCAGTTTTAACCTATACAGTGGATATAAATTCCAGAAAAAAATAAGAAGCCCAATATAATTATGGTACCAGAGAAGATCATATTGCTGGCATTTGCCCACTTCTCATAGAAACATGCTAAAAGGAGGCAGAAGCTCCAATTCACTCCCCAGCTGGATCCAGACATTGTACATTTCTTAAACTTGGCCTTTTAAGAAGACAAGGCAGGAAGTAATTTTTCTTATCCTCTCTGTTTACTTGGGATAGTTGGAACTCTGTTGTGGACCAACATGTTCTCACAAGAGAAGAATGTTCTTATGACAACTAGTGGCTGCCCTTTCTCCCCCTCCCACTCCCCCTTCCCTCCACTTTCCCTGAGACAGGATGAGGGGGGATAGGCAGGAAGCTGCCTGGACCATGGTCTATGACTGGTTCCATGTTCTCTCTTTGAACCATTAAATGTGTGTTCCATGTCTTATTTATCAAAGAAAGTTGCATTCCTTGGTGTCACCACCTCAGCCAGAAGAGTGGTTGAGCTGGGAGCCATAATGATGAATCTGCCATAAACTATATTCAGTAACAAACTCTCTTTATGACTACATCTGAAATTCACCTCCAAAGAAGTTTTGGAGTTTCATATAAACTACTCAATCCATTGACCTGTGGTTTTTCCAAAACTGCATGTATCTGAAGAGGAGAGGAGACTTCACTACCTTGATGTACATCACACTCTTGCCTTCTACCTGCAAAGGACAAAACCAATTAGAAAATCACCCAGATTGTTTCACAGTATAGCAGAATGAGTCTGAGGTCAAACTGTATCTTCCCAGAGGATTTCTTGGTAGATCTTGGGCTATATCCTACTCATGCAGCTGTTTTCCATATTTGAGCTTTTATTCTCTGGGAAATGTCACACAGATGTCCACATGGGCACAAAAAATATAATTTATTTCCTAGTGTTGTAGCTGTATTGGTCCCAGGATATTAGGGAGATAAGGTGGATGAGATCATATATTTTATTGGACCAACTTCTGTTGGTGAAAGAGAGATGCTTTCGAGCTACACGGAGCTCTTCTTCTGGTCTGTTTAGCTCGAAAGCTTGTCTCTTTTACCCACAGAAGTTGGTCCAATAAAATATATGATCTCATCCACCTTGTTTCTTAGAAATTACTAGGAAATAAATTCATCTATACCTCTGTTCTGCCAGCATAGGAATCTGGCCCGTTTGTCAGTGAAAAGTCCCAAGTTATAGGCTGTGTATGTTTTGAAAAGTAATATTCCTAATATAAAGTTGGGTTTTCTCTCAAGTCAACTGGAAAGTCAATGAGGCATGATCTAGCTAAGGCTGTTAGCCAATCAGAGCCAATACTAAGTTTTGCTTGCTAGCCTGCCTGTTGAAAAGAGGTGGGGCTACCCATTTATCCTGTGCGGATTAAACCATCGTATAGAAAGCAATTTCCAGGTAAAAAATTATTAATTAAAAAGCTACATAAGGTTCTTTATAATAAAACTGAGAGATGAGTGAGCATTAAAGCTTACCTGGTCTCAGCACAGAAATCAGACATACATCCTTGCTGTTCCTGGTGGGTTTCATTGCGTTTTTCTTGAGATATGGTTGTGTCGTCACTTTAATTTTATAATAAAAACTAAATTGGTAATTAGCCAGCCCATGAGAGGCAGTATGTTAAAACTCACAAACCTGCCTGTTCTTTGGAATGTGGTAGAGTGGGAAAGATAATGGAGGGGAAGGAGTATCAGAACAGAGGAATGATGAAGGTTGAGAAGAAATATGGAGGAAAAAGATTAATTTATTTTCTGTCATATAATCAATTTTAAGAGGCTAATAATATTACTAGCTTTACTCTCTCTTTATGTATGTGGGGAGTATTGGCTTACCTTTGTATTATGGAAAGATTATCTCTTTTCAAATGTAAAATTGTACTTAGGATTACATTATCTAGTGACCAGATAACTATTTTAAAGCCTTACCATTTAGGAAATTTTAACTCATTTTATTCAATATTATCGTTGTCAGTGTGTAGAAATATGTTTTGTGATTTTTTTTTTGTGAAAAATATTTTAACATGTTTTAACTTAGATTTATTGATGTCATTCATATCTCAAATAAAAATTAAACTCCACAGCATATGACAGAGAGATGCCTTTTAGAAATCTAAAAACTACTTTCCTTTACATTAGTTCACTGCAAAATAGTGAAATACGGTATGACAATAATAAGAAACCTCTTGAATTTTTAATATTAGATTGAGAGCCTCTGCTTGGAAAAAAATCCTTGATTTAAAACAAACAAACAAACATTCCATATTTCCCCAAAACATCATGTTAAAATTTATATATCTCATAACTTTGTCCTAAAGCTACGCTTGGATTGCTTTATAAATTGGTGGTTAATTGAGATGGCTGCCAGTGAACAGACCAACGTAATGAATGTCAGTAATTCTGAACAATGGAGAAATATTACATGTATTCTGTTGAAATATCACACCTGCTGTTGACTGCACGCTTTATGCAATAATTTATAATAGTTCTTGGCTTGCTTCAGGTTACTTTCCTGCTCCAGTATGGTTGAAATATGAGCTTGTTATCTTTTAATATAGAAATGTTCTCATGTTGATTAATTTTTAAACCAATTCGTGAATTTAAAATTAGTATCTTCTAATATATACTGAACACACAACAAATCTCTCTGTAAATAGACAGTTATTTGATTGTTAAAATTGTTTCCATAAGTGTGCGTCAGTTAACAGGATACTACCATGTAACTATTCAAAACCGTTTCTTCTGCTAGAAATAGATGCAGTTACTTGTTACATTTTAAATTTATAAAACTTGGAAATCTGTTTTTTCCTCAATATTTACTGAACCTTTCTGTGCAGCCCCACACTCTGGCATTTGCTGGGGTATTTTTTTATTGATATGCAATTACTTTAAGTAGCTTCACAAAACAAGTACCACATTGCCTAGATGACGCACAGATACTGCTCCTTCATTGTACGTGTACACTGTAAGTTTGTAAGCATAGAAAAGTTCTTTTGATTTTGCTTATAGATGTACTTTTATTGGAATACTCAATAGATTAATGTAGAAAGAGAAGTTGTCTATAGAGGAGTCAGGTTTTTTTTTTTTTTTTTAACATTTTTGAAGGCTTTCAGATATGACAGTGTGGTGGGCGTGGTATAAAATATAGATTGCATAGATCGAGTGTTTTATAAGTAAATCATGGATATTATAGTAAACTCTATAAAATATTTAGTATTGAATAATGTTTAGGAGACAAATGTCTAGATTCAAAGAAGGGATAGCGGACAAGCATTTTTGTTAATAGTTTTTATTAAAATTCTAAAGTAGTTATGATTCTGCTGTTCCTTATTAGTTTATTTATAGAAAAATGGGTAAAGCTCTACACTGGAGTATGCAAATATTATGCCTTGCTTGCTCCCCCCTTTGCCTCAAAAGTGTTTCCTGGAGCAGCTCTTCTAGATGGTTGACAGCCTGGTAAATCTTGGTTCTTCTTTGAGTGTTTGTCCATATATATTCCACTATCATTGTACGTGTACCGAGTGTGCTTAAGACGGATTCTTTTGGCAGCAGTGTCCGTTGGGGAAGTGCCTGCACTTTGTGTCCCCATGCACCAACTAGGTGCATACAAGGAGGGGCCACTTCAACTATCCTTCAGTTCCTGTTCATCACCTGTGGCTACGGGTCAGAGCTTGCAGTGACTGCCTTTTCATATGCTTTGTAAATTGCTAATTAGGTACTTAGTTTAAAGTAGTGTTAGGAATTTTTCTAGAGTTTTTTTCCTTTGTGACAAAATTGTCCTTTATTTGTTTATGTGGGAGGTACTTTCAGTACCACTTCGGTCATGATGACTGAACCTAAATCCCCAGGATTCAAGAATTGTCCTTCATGTGAGACAGCAATGCTCTTGAACAATGGGCGTGCTTGGTGTTTGATTTATCTGAGTGAGGGGCACTTCAGTGATGTGCCATCTGCAAATCATTCTCAAAAAGAATCCAGAGGATGAGAGAGAAGTGAGGTTTTTACCCACGAAAGCTTATGCCCAAATAAATCTGTTAGTCTTTAAGGTGCCACCAGACTCCTTGGTGTTTTTGTAGATACAGACTAACACGGCTACCCCCTGATACTTAGAGAGGTCAGTGCACCCTGCCTCTCATCCTGGCTTGTCTGGGGCAGAATCATCTGATTGATCCATTTCAGGGAGTGCCCCAGCTGCTGCTTCTCCTGAAGCTGCCATTCCGAGTTTAAAAAACCCATCATCTTCATCTGGGAGGTACTGAGGTTAGAGAGGGAGAAAACTGCATAAGTCTCAGAGAGCAAGAGAGAGAGAGAGAGAGAGCAGATACAGATCTTCTCTGGGCCCTTCAGCTTCCAAGGACCTTTGATTTCCAAGGACCATAAATCCTCTCAGTTGACTGAATCGAAGGGTATGTCTACACTGCAATTAAACACCCACAGCTGACCCAAGCCAGCTGACTCAGGCTCGCAGGGCTCAGGCTCAAGGGGCTGTTTAACTGCGTTGTAGACATTCGGGCTGCAAACCAAGCCCTGGGACTCTCCCACCTCACAGGGTCATAGAATCATAGAATATCAGGGTTGCAAGGGACCTCAGGAGGTCATCTAGTCCAACCCCCTGCTCAAAGCAGGACCAATCCCCAACTAAATCATCCCAGCCAGGGCTTTGTCAAACCTGACCTTAAAAACCTCTAAGGAAGGAGATTCCACCACCTCCCTAGGTAACCCATTCCAGTGCTTCACCACCCTCCTAGTGAAAAAGTTTTTCCTAATGTCCAACGTAAACCTCTCCCACTGCAACTTGAGACCATTACTCCTTGTTCTGTCATCTGGTACCACTGAGAACAGTCTAGATCCATCCTCTTTGGAACCCCCTTTCAGGTAGTTGAAAGCAGCAATCAAATCCCCCCTCATTCTTCTCTTCTGCAGACTAAATAATCCCAGTTCCCTCAGCCTCTCCTCATAAATCGTGCTCCAGCCCCCTAATCATTTTTGTTGCCCTCCGCTGGAGCCGTTGATCACTACCCGTTGAGGCCGATGATCTAGCCAACTTTCTATCCACCTTATAGTCCATTCATCCAGCCCATACTTCTTTAACTTTATGGCAAGACTACTGTGGGAGACTATATCAAAAACTTTGCTAAAGTCAAGGAATAACACTTCCACTGCTTTCCCCTCATCCACAGAGCCAGTTATCTCATCATAGAAGGCAGTTAGGTTAGTCAGGCATGACTTGCCTTGGTGAATCCATGCTGACTGTTCCTGATCACTTTCCTTGAACCTGTGCTCCATCTCAAGCCTGAACATCTATGCTGCAGTTGAACAGCCCCTTAGCCTGAGCCCTGCAAGCCCAAGTTAGCTGGCATGGGCTAGCTGTAGATTTTTAATTGCACTGTAGACATACCCCTAAGGGTAGCCTTAGAGCTAAGAAGGGTTCTTACAGCACCCATTCAGGTTCCGGATACCGTGCCTCAGGATCTGATATTATGTTCCCTCAGAAATTGTCTGATACCACCTGTGCAATGTCAAGGCTCCTGGTACCGACAACTATGGTGCTGATGGCCCCGGAACCACAGGATGCTCTTATCTATTAGTGACTTTAACAGTACAGTCACTTTTGGTACAGTCATCTGTCATGGGTGTTTCACAGACTTCAATATATACATTACTGAGGGTTTACTTAGCAGCTAAGGACTTCTCTGTATCCTCTGTACTGGACTTGCCTCTGTTGGCAACCTTAAAAGTGCCTCCACTGGTACCAACATCATTACTGACCTTGGTGCCTAGTGTATCCCCTATACCAGCAAAATCTCAGTTGGTCTGGGAGCTGAGTACACCAACTGGAAAGTCCCTCCTTTGCATGAAAAATATTCTTTCTCCTACTATGAATCTGAGGACAGCAGGAAAGCTTCATCAACAAGATCCCTTGTCTCAGGAGATTCAGGCCCGTTCCTGCAGGGCTGGGATTCTAGGGCTGATTTTGGTTATCAAAGACTGAAGACTAGGTAAGAGAGGATATGAATTTTTGGTACCCTCCTCTTTGGCTAACAACCTTCTATGCTCATCAACACACTTGGGCTTTTTGGGACATATTCCCCATGTTAAAGAATTGCTTCAGCATCATAAACGAGACCCAGATCATCCTTGCCCCAACATCCCATGAAGGGCATATCACTCACTCAAATGGTGCAAACAATGGAACACTGTCCTTGATCATGTTTCTTCTTCCTCTCCAGATGAGGCTGTCAGAATCTTCATCCACCCCAGGTGATTATAAAACATTTCAAGATCTTATGAGGGGAGTTGCCTCAACTCTAGAGATTCCTGTTGAGGTAGTTCAAGACAAACTCTCAAACTCCTCCATACCTCTGTATCAACTCGCTTGACTGCCAGTTAGGCCCTGCCAAATTACTGTGGTAAACCTCAGCCTCAGTAGCTTCAACATCTAAAAGAACGGATGGGTGCTATTAAGCCCCTTCTCAAGGATTTGAACAAGTTTATACCCATCTCTCACAAGGCTCACTGGCAGCAGCCGATAAAATGAATCTCCAGAGACAACAAAGGTTGATTTCCCCCCAGAATTGGAATTGTTTGGCAGGAAAAACTGTTCCACCTCTAGTTTGCAAATAAGAATTTACAACTACCAAGCCTTGTTGGCAATATAGGATTATATTAATTGGGACTCTGAAAAAATTCACTGAGAAGATTCCACAGGAAATGATAGATAAATTCAAATCCATCATTGCCAAGGGTCAACTTGTGGCTGGAACATCTCTGCAGGCAGCACTTGGTGGGTGCTTCCATAGCAATGGGAAGGTCTTCTTGACTACCACTCATCTGGAATTCTTAAGGAGGTACAAGTCATAATTGAAAACCTTCCATTCAAGGGATGCAGCTTTTTCTATGCCAAGGCACACTACATTCTTTTAAGGACTCAATGGCAACCCTGAGGTCTTTGGGAGTCTATACACCTGCTCTCAAAGGAAAACAATATAAGCCACAGCTTTACCAAATGCCATTCCTTCTATCAACAGAACAAACAGTTGGATCCACTAAGGAAATGACAACATTTTCCTTGGTAGAAATCTTCCACTTCCACTGCTTTGTTGACCCATCAGCCTTCTTTGATTGATTTTGGCTGCTTGCTTAAGAGCGGAGTACCAATCCCTACCAATCATCCCATCCCACCCCATCTCTTTCTTTTGGGAATCATTTATATCTGTTCTGAAAATTCTGGAACACTATCACTATTGATCAGTGGGTTCTGAACATAATAGAGATTGCATATACTATCCAGTTCCAGTCTCCTTGTCACCCTCAAATACCTCCCCCAAATGACCCTTCTGATGAGAGTGTCTTTTGTTAAGAGGTGTGTCTCCTGATGCAACAGAAATCCTGCGTCAGTATGGGGGAGAGGGGTTTTATTCCCCAAAAGAGAGCACTGAAGTCTATCCTGGACCTAAGACAACTAAACACCTTCATCAGAAAGGTCAAGTTCAGGATCATTTGCTTCTGTTACCCTATCCCTAGAGCAGAGGAGATTGATACACCACTCTCCATCCCCTGGATGCCCATTTTTGCATCACAGTTCACCCAGCCCACATAAGATATTTAACATTCCTAATGGGAGATTGCTATTACCACTACAGAGTACTAACATTTGGCCTGTTGATAGCTCCCAGACTGTTCAAAGTGCCTTGAAAGAATGGCTGCGTACCTCAGGAAGTTGGAAATCCAAGTGTTCCCATACTTAAATGGCTGATTTGTGCAAAGTCTCCTCAACAGGTAGCAGACTTCATCCAGCAGATACTGCTTCTTTTGTGTGATTAAGTCTGAAAATAAAGACCAGTAACTACTGACCACGGTACAAAAAATAGAGTTCATTGTGGTCATTATAGACTTTGACAACAATGGTATGCACACATGTCCAGGCTAATCCAGAATATATCTGACTACTGGGCTGTATGGCATCCTGTACCTTTATGACTCAGCATGCCAGACTTTACCTGTGCTGCATGCAAAAGTGACTGAAGTCTGTATATCAGCCAAGCAAACATCATCTGGACATGTTGGTTCCTGTTCCACCATGAGTCCTGTTATGATTAGAGGTGGATAGACCTGACAAAAGTCTGCAAAGGGGTTCCATTCTTCCCCCACCAGTTCTATCAAAGACTCTGATGATAGATGCATCCACGTTGGGCGGGGGGCCCCATCTTGGATGACTTGCAAATGCAGTGGTTGTGGACACCTTGAGAAACAACTCTTCTCATAAACATGCTAGAGTTAAGAACCAGTCATCAAGCTTATGTGATCTTTCTACCAGCCATCAAGGGGCTTACCACGTAAGTCATAACAGGCAACATTAGCATGTTTTACTTAAACAAGCAGAGTGGAATCAGATTCATTCTGCTGTGTCAAGAGGTACCCCAACTGTAGAACTTTTTACATATGCCAGAAAGTTACCCTGAAGAAGATTGATCTTCCAGGAATACACAGTGTACTGTCAGATCACCTCAGCAGAAAGTTTGTGGACAACAGGAAATGTTGTCCATAAAAGATGATGTGACTCAATAGCTATTCATCAAGTGGGGTTCCCCTACTATGAACTGGTTCACCATCAGGCTGTACAGGAAATCTCATCGCTTCTGCCCCAGAGAGCATCAGAGTCCAGAGACTACTTTGGATGCATTTCTGATCCTGTGATCCATGGATCCTCTCTACACCACATTTCTTCCAATTCCACCAACACCAAGTGTTGATATAATGTCTAAATGGGACAGATGAGAGTGATGCCTTTGGGATTTTGGCCCGTTTTATTCAATGACATTTTGGAAGGCTGTGACCTGTGATTTCCACTTAACACTTCTTGTGGTTAGTTAAATCATGCTGGAATTGTTGGTTAAAATTATTAATACTGCCCTCTGGAAAGGCAAGAGACCACTTCCCTCGAGAGTTACAACTTTACTCAAGAAACTATTTCTAGATGCTAGTAATCTTGCCTAATCTTTTCTTACCTTTACCCCATTGTCTCTTCCCCAGAAAACGGAATTACTTTTTTTTCCTCTTAGCTGAATGATTACAGATATCTTATACATTTTAATTCTTTTAATAATGAGAAAGTATAACCCTTTTTTGGAGAGGCAATCTGCATGTGTTTCTCCTAGACCTGGGAGATGCTGTAAGATATTCATATAATAAAAGTCCCTTATGATCAAGTTGTTATAGCTCCATAGCTCACATGCTATGCAGATCCATACTTGGCATCCCTTCCCATTTTTCACTTTACTGCATTCTCCTCACTCGCTTCCTTTCCTTTCTGTGAATGTCCCTTCTTTGTTTTTTCTTATTTCACCTCCTTGTGTAATCATTTCAATCAGATTGATGAGGTGTTAAGTGAATATTGTTTTTGATAAATAACTATAATCAGAAAATATTGCTAACTAGCACCTTTTTTAATAAATGTGTTGGAAGTTGACCCTATAAGGTACTTGAAGCACCTTGTGTAATAATTTGTTGTATTTTTGCATTTGTTAGTTATCACAGTGAATATGTACTTCTAATGTAAAATTATTTTCTTTCCTCTTTTAGTGCATTTGAAACGCCACTTTATGTTCCGAAACCATCTCTGTTTAGTTTTCGAAATGCTGTCCTACAACCTCTATGACCTGTTGCGGAACACCAACTTCAGAGGTGTCTCACTGAACCTGACACGAAAGTTTGCACAGCAGATGTGCACTGCACTGCTTTTCCTTGCGACTCCTGAACTTAGTATCATTCACTGTGACCTAAAACCTGAGAATATCCTGCTCTGTAACCCCAAACGAAGCGCTATCAAGATTGTTGATTTTGGCAGTTCTTGCCAACTTGGGCAGAGGGTGGGTGTTACATAATTGTTAATGTTTTATCTAATTAGAAGCTTGAGGAACATTTAAAAATGAGATTAAGCAAATCCTAACACTTTCTCATTGCCAATTTCAGCTTTGCTTATGTTGATTAATATTAAACACTGATTTGTTTTTATGATGTGGCAACATAAGGTTGCCTATGAAAAATATCTTTAACAAACTCCCAGTTAATTTTCCTGACACTATTTCATAATGCAAAAGACATCTACATTTAACAGTAGGAGCTTAATATAGTACAAGGGTAACAAATTAAATATTTTCATTAGTATTTTCTTTTTCTGTGTTTGTAATTCCTTTTTTGATTTTAAGATATTGCTTGGTATGGGTAAGTGAAAACTTTCAAGATATTTGTTGATAGTAACATTAGAATAGTTGGCTTTTAAATACAGGGCCAACCAGACTCAGAGCTTTGAGGTAACTTTAAAAAAATAATTTAGAGAGAGAACACTATTTCCATAACATTAATCTTTTGTCATAAAGTGTGCTCATTGTTAGGAATAGAAGAAAATAAGTGGTAGACTGGGAATACTGGGTAGGTCAGGGGACTGCTGAGGGTGCGTGGAACTTCTAACATCTACTTCGCTAGCTGAAATTCAGTTCCAGGGTGAAAAACTTGAGCCACTGTCATCTGATAGTTGTTCAGTGGTTCAGTCCACATCACAGAATCCACCACCAAAATTAGCACTAATTGGCCATGTTCTTGACAGTCTCTCCCAAGACACAAAAATTGAATGGGTTTAGTGACTAAGGCCTCAATTCTGCAAACATTAAGCATATGAGTAATTTTACTCATATGGGTAGTTGCATTTACTTCAATGGGATTATTAGAGTAAGTAAAATTATGTATGCATTTAAGTGTTTGCGGAATAGGGGCCTGAATTACCCTATGTCCTGCAGATGGTTCCTTTAGATTAGAATAGAGGCACATTGCTTGGGCAGTAAAGGAAAACGTAGGGCTTCGCTACACTTGCAAGTTAGAGCGCATTAAAGCAGCCCCAGGCGCCCTAACTCACGACCCGTCCACACTGGCAAGGCACTTAGAGCGCCTGGGCTCTGCAGCTGGAGCGCTGCACGAGAAGCATAACGCTTGCTGCGCCTTGGCTGAAATGCCCCCGCATCAGTGTGAACGAGGTGTTGCATTACTGCACTTGAATCAGCCTCCGGAAACGTCCCATAATCCCCTTAAGTCAAGTGACCACTCTTGTCATTGTTTTGAACTCAGCTGTAGGAAAGCAGATATGCCCTTTCAGAGCACCGTTTTTGACAGCTGGCATGCTTATCTGCTCTGGGACAAAGCAAGCCATTAGTGTCGAATGCTGCTTGCTGAGAGTGTGAGAGAGAGGCGGGGGGAGGGGGGGGTGCTGCTGTCTGAACTTACAAGACAGCATGCTGACATGCTCTCAGCCGCTCCAAAACCCACACTCTCTCCCCCCACATACCCACAACACACTCCACCCCACCCCCCTATTTGAAAAGCACGTTGCAGCCACTTGCATGCTGGGATAGCTACCACAATGCACTGCTCTCAGTGGTGTTGCAAGAGCTGCTAATGTGGCCACGCCAGTGCGCTTGAATCTGACAGTGTGAACACACTGCAGCGCTTTCCCTACTGCGCTCTCCAAGGGCTGGTTTAACGCACAGCGCTCTACATCTGCAAGTGTAGCCATACCCTTAGATTGCCATGATTTATGCTGTATGTGTTTTGAGGATAAATAGATTACTTCAGTATTCAGGGCTATCTATCTGACACCTTCAATGAGTACTAATTTCACTTACATTAAAAAAAAATTGGATTAAACCATTTACTGTAATTGTAGATAAGTACATAAATATTGTTTTAACAGATGCCAAAAGCTTCTCCCTTCCTGAGGAAGAATTGGACTCTCCACCTAGTTTAGTTTTTAATGGCAGTCTGTTCATAGACATTATTTCAAGATACATGGAGCATGTTTATTGTACCCCAATATATCCTAGTGTGCAGAAAGGTTCTTCACTGTCTGAATGCATTCAGTCAGTGAAGAAACATCCCACCATACATAAGTATCAGGGGGTAGCCGTGTTAGTCTGTATCCACAAAAACAACAAGGAGTCCGGTGGCACCTTAAAGACTAACAGATTTATTTGGGCATAAGCTTTCGTGGGTAAAAAACGCACTTCTTCAGATGCAACCATACATACCCACTATACATAGTAACCTTTCCCTGCCTGACTGCTCTAAAACAGGGGTGTCAGTCATACAGATGACTAGGAATCCCGTAGAAAGAAATTTTCAAAAGCATCTAAGTGACTTGGGAGCTTAAGTCTCATTGAAAGCCAATGGGACTTGGGCTCCTAAGTGCCTAAACACTTTTGAACATGGAATTTAGGCTTGCAAGTCACTTAGGCACTTCTGAAATTTTACTTATAAAGATTAAGAATGCTATCCCCTTTTCTTTTCAACAGTTGAGTGTTGGGAGGAGTGTGAAGAAGGATGTTCCCCACCCACAGTGGGAACCGAACAGAAATCTGAATAGGATATTCAGAGGAGGATATTAGTCTGAATTGAGAGAAATCCTATTTTTTCTTAAAGATTAATTTAAACAAACAAAAGGATCTCTTTGAGTAAAGCCCTATTTTTAAAGATGTGTAGCAGATGTTGGGGCTCAGGAGAGTGCTAGTATTTTATTAAGTATTGATATGTAAATATCTGAGACTTCAAGTACAAATTCTGATTTTTATATTTATTATTAAATTTCCAGACTTCCCTTTTCGTCCTCCCCAACCTCAAAAATACTTTTCTGTGGTAAAGTTCTTGTAAGTCACTAATGTCTAAATCAGGACAAGGCTTTTCAGAAGTTATTCATTATCTTTCTATGTGTTTATTTCAGATATACCAATATATCCAGAGTCGTTTTTATAGATCTCCAGAGGTGCTACTGGGAATGCCTTATGACCTTGCAATTGACATGTGGTCCCTTGGGTGTATTTTAGTAGAAATGCACACTGGAGAACCTCTCTTTAGTGGAGCAAACGAGGTGTGTAAATTCCCAATGGTAGAAGTGATCTTATTCTTCATTCTTTCTAATCAGGAGTTTGATCTAATTAATTGTAAGGCACACATAGAGGAAGCCTGTTTAATTGTTTAAGAATTGGCATCAACTTGGCAGTAGGAATATCTTTTGACAGGAGTCTAAAGTACAGATTGCTTATATCAAATTGTAATGTATTGATTTCTGCAATTATTGATACTTGTACTTATTTGTGTATTTGCTTCTTACATAAGAATTAATATTCTCAAATGTTACAGCTGATTTGTAACTCAACAGCTTTTTTAGGTAGTTCCAGTTTTCTTCCCACATGTCTACCTAGAATTTTAGATTTCATCTCATTGCCAAATTATCTACTACATTTGTTTTTATAACTATTCTTTCTTTTGAACCAGGTGGATCAAATGAATAAAATAGTGGAAGTTCTGGGTATAGCACCTGCTCATATTCTTGACCAAGCACCAAAAGCAAGAAAGTTCTTTGAAAAGTTGCCAGATGGCACTTGGAACTTAAAGAAGACCAAAGATGGAAAAAGGGTAGGTTAGGTATCCTAGATAAGGAATGGAGTGTTCAGAATAAGTTTCTGTGGTAACTATTGTACTGATTAAAAATGTTTGTTCTTTTGAAGACTTAATTTTAACACTATTTAATATTCAGTATGATAGAATTGATTTGAAAATTAAATCTATTAATGTTCTCAGTACTGACAAATAACTCCTGACTTTCATTTGATTTTCTTTTATGGTTTATTTAAACGGTGATAATGTAAAGTCTAGCTTATAACTTGAATGACAATCAACTGCTAACTTCTCAACAGGAGTACAAACCACCAGGAACTCGTAAACTTCACAATATACTTGGAGTTGAAACAGGGGGACCAGGCGGACGGCGTACTGGGGAATCGGGTCATACTGTAGCTGACTACTTGAAGTTCAAAGACCTCATCTTAAGGATGCTTGATTATGACCCCAAAACCCGAATTCAACCTTATTATGCCCTGCAGCACAGTTTCTTTAAGAAAACAGCAGATGAAGGTACAAATACAAGTAACAGTGTGTCTACGAGTCCTGCCATGGAGCAGTCGCAGTCTTCAGGAACCACCTCTAGCACATCTTCAAGCTCAGGTACATTTCTCATTAGTAAATTGTCAAGACAGTATTATTTTAAAGAGAAAATATCAAAAATTTCAAGTCAGCAATTTTTCCATATAATTGTCTTCATTTTTTTCACTTCTGAAAGCCTGTCTTTTTAAAAACAAAAATGTTTAAAAAAAATTCATAATAGATTTCTACTACAACCTATATCTTAAAAATTCAGTCGAATTTTTTTCATCTAAACCTATTTCTGCTTTATACGGAATAAATTGTTTCAAGATCAAAGCCTAAGATTATGTTCCTAACATAGTTGTTCTGTGGAATGCTGTAAATATTGCTGCTGTTCTATTATTGCTTGTGTTATGATTGTTATAGGTGGGTCTTCTGGGACAAGCAACAGTGGAAGGGCTCGGTCAGACCCTACACATCAACATCGACACAGTGGTGGACACTTCACTGCTGCTGTCCAAGCTATGGACTGTGAAACACAGAGTCCACAGGTATGCTCTTGAACAGAGCTTCTCCCTGATGCATTTATAAAAACGCAATTGCTTTTATATTTTGAGACGATTGAATCCATAAACTATCCTGTATTGTCAAGATTTATGCTAATTAACACTTCAAAGTGAAAGGTGGGGTAGGCATGGAACTGGCAATTGGAAGACTTGGATTTTGCAAGTCCCAGTTCTTCCACAGATAATCCTTTGTGAATATCTTGGGTAAGTCACTTTGGCCAAAATAGTACCAGCAGCCTTAATAATTTGGCTAAGTACTGGGGAATCTTGCAGCTGTAAGGGGGAAGAATCCCCCACTCCCTAACTATGGAGTGCCAGCAACAGAGAGCCTCTAGGGCTCTTGCAGCTTTTCCTCCATTCCCCTGTTAAGGACCAGAGAATTCAAATAGTCATAAATCTTCCAGTCCATCCCAAAGAGCAGTTTGAACATAGACTTTATACGGCCAGAAGGGACTATCATGATCATCTAGTTTGTAGAATCTCACCCACCCAGTCCTATAATAGACCTGTAACCTCTGGCTGAGTTACTGAAATCCTCAAATCATGATTTAAAGACTTAAAGTTACAGAGAATCCACCATTTACTCTAGTTTAAACCTGCAAGTGACCAATGCCCCACGCTGCAGAGGAACACGAACACTTCTCCCCCCCCCCCCCCCCCCCCCCCCCCCCCCCCCCCCCAAAGCGTTCCTTGCCAATCTGACCCAGGGGGAAATTCCTTCCCAACCCCAAATATGGTGATCAGTTGGACCCTGAGCATCTGGGCAAGACCCACCAGCCCTACAGCTGGGAAAGAATTCTCTGTAGTAACTCAGAGCCCTCCCCATCTAGTGTCCCATCATCAGCTGTTGGAGATATTTGCTGCTATCAGTCACAGATTGGCAATATGCCATTGTACACAGTCTCATCATACCATACGCTCCATAAACTTATCAAGCTCGGTCTTGAAGCCAGTTAGGCTTTTTGCCCCTACTACTTGCATTGGAAGGCTGTTCCAGAACTTCACTCTTCTAATGGTTAGAAACCTTCAACGAATTTTGTCTAATGTTGATTGCCAGCTTATATCCATTTGTTCTTGTGTCCACATTGGTGCTTAACTTAAATAACTCCTCTCCCTCCCTGGTATTTATCCCTATGATGTATTTATAGAGAGCAGTCATATCTCCCCTCAACCTTCTTTTGGTTAGGCTAAACAAGCCAAGCTCTTTGAGTCTCCTCTCATAAGGTAGGTTTTCCATTCCTCGGATCATCCTAATAGTCCTTCTCTGCACCTGTTCCAGTTTGAATTCATCTTTCTTAAACCTGGGAGATCAGAACTGCACACAATATTCCAGTTGAGGTCTCACCAGTACCTTGTATAATGGTATTACCACTTCTGTTTCTCTACTGGAAACACCTTGCCTGATGCATCCTAGGACTGCATTAGTCTTTTTCACAGCATCACATTGGCGGCTCGTAGTCATCCTGTGATCAACTGATACACCCAGCTCTTTCTCCTTCTCTTCCAACTGAAAAGTCCCCAGCTTATAGCAGAAATTTTTGTTGTTAGTCCCTAAGTGCATGACCTTGCACTTTGCACTATTAAATTTCATCAAATTTTTATTACTCCAGTTTTCAAAGTCATCCAGATCTTCTTGTATGATACTCCAGTCCTCTTCTGTATTGGCAATACCTCCCAACTTTGTGTCATCCACAGTCTTTATTAACACACTCCTGCTTTTTGTGCCAAGGTCACAACAGTATTGCAGAGAACCCACACAGAGCTTGCAGTGGCAGGGTCTGTCCCCAGGTAAACCTGTGCTTCAGTTTCTCTCTTTATCCCCATTTGACATTAATGTTTCTAAGACATCTTAATGTTCTTGAAGGAAAGCCACTATACAAGTGCAAAGTAGTAGTAGTAGTATTTTTTGTTGCTTTTATTATTCGTTGAACTATGGTCTTGGTTAAAAATATAAATGAGTATATATCTGCTTGATTTACTGATAAAAGAATAAAACTAAAATGTAGTAGTTATTGGCCATTGCTGCTCATCACTTTACAACATAAAGCTAGTGGGAAAAACAAAGCTTCTCAGTATTGCCATCGCTATTATAAAAGGAGTAATTGTACTTCTTCCCAGGTGAGGGGAATAATTATGAAAATAAACTTATGAAATCAGTTTTATTAGCTAATATTTTGGTAGAGTTGTTAATAATACTCTTCTGATGCTATTGGGATCTCAATGCAAGCTTCAAGCTACTTGTCTAATAATATTAATACAATAAAAGCTGTTTTATCCGGCACTTCACCAACTGGAAAGCTCTATAAAGCAGCCAGGACAGGTTGTCGTTTGCGAGGAACTGCCTGAGGTGAGGGCCCTCCGCACCCGCCACCCCACACTCCCTCCCGTGCCCCAACCCACTGCCTCGAGCTCCCTCCCGCACCCAAACTCCCTCCCAGAGCCCATTTCCCGCACCTGCTCCTGTGCCCCAACCCCCAGCCCCGCACTCCCTCCCATACCCAAACTCCCTCCCTCTTAGTTAACCAGCATTTTTCACTTACCGGCATCCCCCATTCCTCCAATATGCCAGATAAAACAGCTTTTACTGTACTAATAATTTGTTTTTCAGTATTAGAGACCCCAGTCAGAGATCAGGGTCCTGTTGTGCTAGGCACGATGTAAACACACACTTACTGATTACTACCATTAAACAATGCTGCCTCTGAATTTGCTTTTTACAACTTTTGCAGTAGGTCACATAATTAGAATTTTTTTTCTTGAGTGTATCAGCAATATTAAATTCAAAGTTTCTGTCCTAGTTTTTCTTTTCCAAAGATACATTTAGAAAAGCGTATTAGAAATATTTCTAGCTTCATACTTTTATCAGTTTTTATGCTACTTAAAATTTAGTTTTATTTTTTACATTAGAGTAAATTTTAATCGTTTTTAAGCTCTTTGTATAAATGGCATATAAAACATATTTGATTAAACTTTTTATTTCTTAAACTACTGTCATAGGTTCGACAGCAGTTTCCTCCTCCACTTGGTTGGACAAGCACTGAAGCTCCTACACAGGTCACCGTTGAAACCCATCCAGTTCAAGAAACCACCTTTCATGTAACCCCTCAGCAACAAAATGCATTACATCACCACCATGGGAATAACTCCCACCATCACCACCACCACCACCACCACCATCATCATGGACAGCAAGCCTTGGGTAGCCGGACCAGGCCAAGGGTCTACAATTCTCCCACAAATAGCTCCTCCACCCAGGATTCTATGGAGGTGGGCCATAGTCACCACTCCATGACATCTCTGTCTTCCTCAACTACTTCTTCCTCTACATCTTCCTCCTCTACCGGTAACCAAGGCAATCAAGCCTATCAGAACCGCCCAGTGGCTGCTAATACCTTGGACTTCGGACAAAATGGAGCTATAGACATGAATTTAACAGTCTATTCTAATCCGCGCCAAGAGACTGGCATAGCTGGACATCCAACATACCAGTTTTCTGCTAATACAGGTCCTGCTCATTACATGACTGAAGGACACCTTGCAATGAGGCAAGGAATTGATAGAGAAGAGTCTCCCATGACAGGAGTTTGTGTTCAGCAAAGTCCTGTGGCTAGCTCGTGACTAAACTGAAACTAAGTTTGTTTCTTGTGTGTTTTTATAGAAGTGGTGTTTTTCCAAAAACAAAGTGCAAAGCTGCTTGAATCAGAAGGAGATAAACTCACTGAACCGCTACAGGAGGGCAAAGCTGACTATTTTTTTAAACTTGAAAAGATTGCAAAGGGACAATGAAAGTTTTTTAAGAGCCATGTCCAAACCCACCTTAATGGATAGCTTAGAGGTGTTGTCTCACCTTTTGCTTCCCCCTTCCTCCCATTTTAACTTGCCACAACTTAGTCATAGATTTTTTTTTTTTTGTCTCAGTCAACAGGGGTTAATGTTCAAATGTTGGTCTTAGTTGCAAATTATTTTTTTTAAAAGCACTGCACAGGATTTACATAAAAGGACCCTTTGAGGTTGGTGGGGAGGGATTGAGTAATATGGGTTTTTTAAGTTCCCCAAATACACATGGGCACAGAATGCAGTACTGTAAGGAAGAGGGACCTTCAGATTACACTATATATAATATTCAGCTGTAAAAAGGGACAGTTGTAAAGGAGTTTGTAAGGCACATTAAGCATGCTAAGTGGCGGTGATCAGAACTCTCCTTATCTGAATCTACTGAGGATCAAAGCAGCAATTATAATGGGATTCTGTGTGTCTCATATTTTAGAGACCACAGTCAGCTAGTATTGGAATATGACTGGTCTCATAACTAAGGTGCACTGAGAAGCAATCAACGGGTTGGTCCTGGCCAGTCCTGGGGAGGTCTTAAGTGGTGGTCTTTGGGATAACCTTTGGCCTTATGGATTTGGACTCTTAAATTAGAAGAGCCTACCATTTCAGATGCAATCACATTTGGACATGCTTTTGCAGACAGTCCTTAATGCTGAAAACAGAGAATGGGTAATTCAAGAGGCCTTTCTTTTAAAATAGACTTTTGTGACCCACTTATTGTAAGGTATTGCAAGGTCACTTTGCGTGTGTCATAAAGTTGACTTCCTTATTGGTTGAAGGTCACAGAAGTAGTGGTTTGCGTTTGATGGAAATAGCTACAACTGTGTCCCTTCCTGCTTTTTTACTTTTTTCTTTTGCTTTTTCTCGGCACGTGGTTTCTCCACCATTACTTCTGCACAAAGATGTCTTCTGTTCATTCTGAACATTTTAAAAAATGCAGAATTTTATGTGACTGCTTTTTTGCCTCACAATTATGCTGTGAATTTTACAAAAATTTATTTTCTTTTTTGATAATTTATTGTACCAAAGCTGTTTTTATAGCACATAGATGTCTGTAACCAATAATGTAGCAGTTCTGCACTTTGACACAAGGTGTAATTAGACCATTTTTAAATGTCAGTTGAAAATTATGGCTGTACTATTGCTTAAACAAAACTGGAACTGTTGTTGAATTCATAGCCAATACATTTACAGCAATCTGTGTACTGAACATAATAGATTGACATCTAATTCAAGACTATAACATCTGTTACATTATAAATGTGTTCAGGCTTCTGAAGGTAAAAGGGACACTAGATCCAGAAGCTATGAAACCAGCAGTTGATTCTTGTATTCCTTATTAACATAAATGTAAACTTGAAGGTAAGACCTTGATTGCATGAACAGGTCCAAAACAATAGTATGAGTAAAGCAAAAAGCTCATGAGAGACCTGAAGTTAGCAGGCTGTATTTAACAGGTGCCTAATTTTTGGGTTATGCTGCCTTAATATAACACAGTCAGCTTGGCAGTTGCTAAATTTATGTGCCCACATAAAGATTTATAAATATTATGAATAAAAACTCAGTGAATTAAAGTGAAAAATAAGGGTAGTTTAGCAATTACCTATCCCAGAACATTGTTTGCCCATTAGATATTACAGAAGCAGTGATCTACCTCTGCCAGTAAGCCCTTTAAAAAGGTAATTCAGCAGAAGAATATTGCATCCTTACACTGGTCAATTCCATGTGGCTGGCTAGGTCAGGTTTTTTTTTTTTTTGAACAAAAGTTTTTTTTGTTATATTTAATGGCAACACAGCAGCTGAATATTGTGTAAATGCAAATGAGTACTTGGGGGTTATCAGTTTTTGTAAATCACAATTTTTTTATCACGGGATCCATATTTCTTTTGTATTGACATGTCAAGCCTGTGAATTAAAGTATTTTTGAACTCAGTAGTTCAGAAAAGTTTACAGTGATTGAAATGCTGTCATCTTAGAAACAGAGCACTGAGTTTAGCAATATAAAAAGGAATCCAGTACTTACTGCTGTCTAGAAATATAAGGGTAGTATAAAATATGGGTAATTTTTCCTGTGTTGGTTGCCACACTTTAGCAAGCACCAAAAATTAAAGCCGTTTAAAAAAATATTTACATAAAAATCATAAAATCCAATGCTTCTGCATACTGTGTTATGTTACAGTCCAGTTTTGTGTGCTTTACTACACAGTTTGGTTACAGGACTTCTGTGCATTGTAAACATAAACAGCATGGAAAAGGTTAAATACCTGTGTTCAGATTGTAAGATCTAGTCCGGACTTGCTGTGTATATTGTAACGTTAAATGAAAAAGACAAGCCCTTTGTATTATAGTCATGCAGTCTTATGTATGATAAACAGTTGAATAATTTGTCCTCAGACTCTTTACTGTGCTTTTTAAAAAAGTAATTTAAGAGAAAAATGTAAACATAGTAATATCTTCCTATGCAATTAACCTACTCCAAACCTTGGTTTGGTAGGTATAACTATAGTAAAATATGTAAATATTAGATACATTGACACAGACTTTAAAAAGAAATACAGAAGTAAAAGTTGGAGGCGTAACAGATCATTTTGAGTTTTTAATTGAAACAGCAAGGTATATAAATCATTGATGTATAAACACTGACGCATTTTGATCTCTGCTTGATTCCAATTGACATATAATATTGCTTTTAGTTTCAGAATTGTTTATATTCTCATCCACTAGTTTCAGAATATTACAGAGATCTTCTTACATGCACTTTAGAGTTCCTACTATTATAATCAATTGATAGATTTCAAGGCCAGAAGGGCCATTATAATGATCTAGTCTGACCTCCTGCATAACACTGGCATAGAATTTTACCTGGTAATTCCTGCATCAAGCCCATATCGTTTGGTTGAGTTAGCACATATGTTTTAGAAAGACATCCAGTCTTGATTTAGAGGTTTCAAGAGATGGAGAATCTACATCATCTCTTGGTAAGCAGTTCAGTGGTTAATTATCCACACTTAAAAATTATTCCCCTGGTTCCCAGTTAAATTTGTCAAGCTTCAGCTTCCAGTATTGGGATATTGTTATGCCTTTGCTTACTAGGTTAGAGCTGTCTAGTTTCAGACATCTCCCCTGTAAAGAGTGAGCAAGTCACTTCTTAATCTTCTCTTTAATAAGCTGCCTTGATCAGGCCCCTTAAGTCTCTAACTGCAAAGCATGTTTTCCAGACCTCAAATTATTCTTGTGGCTCTTCTCTGAACTTTCTTCAATTTTTAACATCCGTTTTAAAGTGTGGATACCAAAACTAGACACAGTGTTCCAGTAATGGTCTTAATAATGCCATATACAGAGGTAATATCACTTTACTCCTATTTGTTTATACCTATTCCTGTTTATCCATCCAAGGACTGCATTTTAGGCTTTTTAGCCACAGCATTGCACTGGAAACTGTTTAGTTGGTTATCCACAATGACTCCTAAGTTCTTTTCAGATTTGCTGCTTTCTAGGATGCAGTCAACCATCCTGTAAGTATGACCTTATATTCTTTACTAGAGTATGGCTTTGCATTTGACTATTTTAAAATGTATGATGTTTGAATGTTCCTGGTTTACAAAGCAATCCAGTTCTGTAGAAGTGACCTGTCCTTTTTATTTACGACACCACCAATTTTTGTGTCGTCTTCAAACTTTATCAGCAATGATCTTATATCTTCTTCCAGATAACGGATAAAAACACTGAAATAACTTTTGAGCTGAAAGCCAACCCTGTTGAATCTCTCTCTAGAAACACTTTCAGTTGTTGTTGATTTCCCCATTAACTGTTACATTGAGATATATTGGTTAGCCAGTTTTTAATCCATTTAATATGTGCTGTATTGATTTTGTATAATGCTATTATTTTAATCAGAATGAGGTACAACACTTTGAGATAGCATGGAAATATCTACATCTCCAAAATAATCAAATAACTCAAAGTGAAATTGTATATGATTATAAATTTAGCTTGCATGCAAAATTTATAAGATCAGTATCACCAGTTTCTTATATATGATTCAGCATGTCAGTGTGGTAAGATATATCCTGATGTAGAGGTGCACATCAAAATATTAGAATTCTACAGAATATTATGGTTGCCAGGCAGACACACATACATATCTGCTCTATTAGGATTATAGGTGTTCTGTGCACACCGTTGTTTGATTGGGTCCTGTTGAATCACCCCATTGTTGGGTATATCAAGCAATTTCTAATGATCTTTAGAAATTGGGATTTATTGTCCACCTGATGATTACCTTTAAATTTCTAATTTTTCCAACTTTTTTAATTAACCTGCTTAGGCCACTTGTTTAATTTCCATAGCATTTCTCCAAGATAGTGGTGTCAAATATGCAGGCCCCCCCCGGATCTAAGATTATATGTGATTTCTAGAACGAATAATATTGTACATAGATTTATTATGAAGTACTAATATGCACAATACTGCATAAGACACAAACACAAAGCCCCAGAGAGCTGAATGACAAATATAGATGTGATACACTGGGTAACCTAGAGGAAGGTGTGCATACAAATATAAATTACAGCTCCCACTTTCTCTAAAGGTGTTGTAGAGAGAACAATCTAACTCATCTGGGTTTGTGCTGATGGGTCTCAGAGAAGAAATGAGTCATTAGGAGAGATTTGAATTGGGGGTGGGTTAGGGCCTAGCACAATGGAATTGAAGAGAAAATCTATGTGTAGTGGGCAAATCTGGAGGGTATGAAGGTGTGTGTGTGTGGGGGGGAAAGCTGTGGGTGAGGCTGGTATAGTTAGTGGAGTGATAGGGTTGAGAGGCAATAAAACAAGGAATCAGATAAGAGATTAGGGTCGAGTGGAATTGTATAGATCTTGAAAATGAGAATGAGAAGTTTAATTAGATTGATCCTGGGAGACCTAGTGAAGGGATTTGAAGAGGTAATGATGTGGTCTGATTGGGTGAGGAAGATCATTTGAACAGTTGTACTTTGGATTGGCTGGATGGAAGCAATATGGGTCTCAGGGAAGCCAGAAGAGGAAATTCCAGTAATGAAAATGGGAGATAACTAGGGCATAGATAAATGTTTTGGCTGTTGTGACAGGATTGATTTTTAATATGTTATGGAGGAGGAGGAAGTGGCAAGACTTAGCAATAGTCCTAATATGCAGGATAAAGAAGAGAGGAAATGAAAGATGGTCACAAGTATCTGTGACTGTGGATGAAAGTGTTGT